TGCACTGTGGGATGTTACTTCAAAATTATACTCTGATAAAAATGCAAGGCGACAAGCAGTAGAGCGAATTGACGCATCCCTCCACCTTGGTGGTAAGTTTTAAAAATCAACTTCAAGTTGAATATACAGGCCCACATAAACTTCAAAGTATCAAATACACCTGAACAGGGTTACTTACATATGAATAAAAGCTGATCATAAATTTTATAAAGTGTGTGTATTTATAAAGTTTTTTCCATCATTATATGTCAAACTCAAAGGTCAAGGTCAAAGGGTTCAAACTGTTGATATCAGAAGAAAGTCTTGTCACAAGGAATACACATGTGAAATAAGTAATTCCTAGTACTTCCTGTTCAAAAGTTAATTGCCAAGGTTAAAGTTTTTTTTTAAAGTGGTTCAAACTGTAATGTCAAGGTCAAACATATTTATACCTGTTGAAAGTTCACAATAAATTCGCATGTTAAGCAAGAAAGCCCTAGCACCTACTGATCAAATTTAGGCAAAGTTAAAATTTGGTATTTTTCTTGTAAAAATGTCTAAAAATCCAAGGTCAAGCGATCAAGAGGTCAAAATTCATGGTACCCAAATAAAAGGTCTTTCCACAAGGAATTAACCTATGAAATGTAGAAGCCATTATGTGTATAGCCCAACCCACTTAAAACTTATGGGCAAGGTTAAAATCTACAATTTTGGAGTCACAAGATCGTTTGTTATTTCAGGGACAGGGGTGGTTAGGGAGATTGCCCCCCCCCCTTGAATTAATAAGACTAAATACTGAAGCGGATAAAAAATGACTTTGGACATACTCCCACTTACTTAGAAAACATTGACCCCACGACCCCACTATCATTGTATTTATTTTGTTTATTTGTTTTCAGCTTTTTCTCCTGCTTGTCAGGAAATTCTGGGCTTGAATTTTTTGACTGAGATGTGAACCCCCCCTCCCCACTCCCGAAAAAAAATCTGGATCTGCACAAGTATTGGCAGTAACTGAATGTCACATCGACAACGGGAGATAACTTCACAATATGAAAGTCGTACAGTGTGGCATGCGATGATCTTTGACCCTTTTTGAACTTTAACCTAATCAATTTGGTTTATTTTACCCCAATCTATACTTAAACTTGTACTTACCAACTGTTATAGGTCCTGTCAACTTCATGAAATATAGTTATAACACAAAACGAATTAATCCAATGCACACCAGACTGCAGCGTGTGCTCTATCCCATTCGGCAGACTTTGGTCGATTCCGTCGCCTTATCAGATGAAGTGTGAATCGGCCGAGTGGTGCTTAATCTAAAAATATGATAATGGGTGACGCAACACAGTGTGATGTAGAAATTTTCCAAAAGGTGTTTACACGTAAACAGGTATAGTACAAGAACAAATTCTAAATTACTTCATAACAAACGATGTTTTAACAAAACTTATCCATCTAGCCTATTCAATAAAAATAACACAAAACAAAAAAATTACGTATGTGCCATGTGTTTGTGATGTCGGGGGCCGGGGGGGGGGGCATTAGTAAATTTAAAAAGGTCCTATTATGAGCAAAACATTTATCAAAATCTAATTAAAATCATTAATTAAATTCAAACTGGTAATGAGGATATGAGTCATATAGGTTACATGGTCACAGGGTCTGATAATTTCATACTCAAATTGACGAATACATGTTCCGTGTACGTGTAAATTATAGAATTATTTAATCCTTTTTATTGGAATTAAAGCCCAATATGTAGGAGTGTATATTTAGAGGCAAACACCCCAGTGCGGGTATTACTGTCTCTTGACAGCATCTAGTTTCTCTTTGTTTTTTTTATCTACGTCTGGGTATTAAGTAATCAAAGTAAGCATGGTAAGTGTATAGTTACGATTAGCAATGGTTCTTCTTTCAAAATTGTGAATTTCATGGCTTTTGGTTTAAAACACGAATCAAATCCAATTGATAAAAAGTTATTTAATACTCAGGTGACCTATAAGGCCTGTAGGCCTCTTGTTCTTAATGTCCATGGGGAAGATAACGACCTTGACCTGACCTTGCCTCTACTAATTATATAGAATGGTCAAATTTAATCTAACTGATACCATAGGTTAGTGATACTCTTGGTTCTGTGAATATGTCATTAAATTTTAAGTACAAGAAATATGAGAAAAATCCTACCTTACAAATTTTGCCTATACATTTCCCGAGGGATTCTTGGAAGATTTCTAAAAGATGCCATTTAATTTTTCTAATATATTCTTTCATGTAATAATTATCTCCCCTTGGAAGAACGCGTGGTCTTTCATTTGGACAAACTTGAATCTTCTTTACCAAAGGATACTTTGTGTCAAGTTTGTTGGAATTGGTTTCGAAGTTCCAGAGAAGTTGAAATTGTGAAATGTACATGTAAAAAACGATATTCAATGGACAGATATCGTTCATGATTGATTGTTCATTGTTTAACGTCCCTCTCAAAAAGTTTTCACTCATATTGAGACGCCACCTCTTGCCGGTGGGGAACTGCTAATGTCCTATACGGTCTCATCCGAAGGACTAGTCTCCACGTTCCACAGTGGAATTCAAACCTGCGATGTAACTCCTTACTTCGCGACTCTTGAGCAGAGGTTCTAAATATTTCGACCAGAAAAGCTACATGTACAGTGTGTCTTTGGTTCCGGTTAGAGTTAAACTGTGTTAAGTCTGTAGTAAAAATGAAGTATTATTTCCTTCGAAATCTTTTTTGCTTCTTGTCATATAAGTAAACTGTTGCAAACACAATAAGAACTATATTTTGTACCAGATTTTTTAACATACACCAGTATATGGACGATATGGTACAGGTCAGGGCTACAGATGCATAGTAATTTTATTAAATTATTACCCTAGGCAATGCACCTTCAAGTTTCATAACAAAACACTGGAAATCATGTTCTTGAAATAAAAATAATTAAAGTATGCATATGATTGATCATTGTATGATACATTATGATCATGTATCCTTGTAAATAAAATAAAACACACCCCCCCCCTTCAATAAAATAAAAATAAAATATGAACAAAAAAAAAAAACATTTAAAATAATGGTCAGCTTTTTTCGAGAACTTGCGTCGAAACAATATACAAGAGAATTATGCAACGACAGCTTCGTCATTGTTAAGGAATTTTTTAATTGCTGTTCGATTTAAATGTTTACCTATTTACATATCTCCCAGACATAGCAGTTCGAGTTTTGGAAGAAAAAAATATTTAAATGTGCAAAAAATGATAGCTAAGGTAGGATAGTCTTTGATTTTCTATTCAATTGGATTGAAAAGTTAAATGATATGTAATTTTGCATTGAAATCTCAAATGGTTAAAAGCGCAATTATATACTTAAAAACATTATTACAGCAGTTATACATGTATGTACCAAATTGAACACACCCGGTTAAACGTAAACAAAATACTATAGTAACAAGTGCTTGTATCTATCAACATAGGTGTTATTAAGAATAATGTATTAAAAAGAATCGAATATCGTTTAATTTTTGGAATTGTCCTTCTGTGATTGTTAAAGCCATTAAACTTTTTTTTTTGAATAAAAAAAAAAGAAACTTAAAGTGAAACCGTCAAGGTAATTCAACTGTGCCAAAGCCCTAAAACAAATATTTTTGTTTTCGAATGCCTATAGGATCATCTGGAGTGTAGACTTAAAAAACACAAAATGTCCGTTTGCACGCTTCATATACATGTAAGTAGCAGGTTAGGTACAATTTGTAGCATTACATACATGATCTTGCCCCGTGGGGATCCGGGTTAGAATAGGTCCTCAGTACCCCCTTGCTTGTCGTAAAAGGCGGTCCTTCGGATGAGACCGTATAAACCTGCTCAAAGGCCGTAAGTGCCGAGCATACGCCTAAATTTGCAGCCCTTCACCGGCAATGGTGACGTCTCCATATCAGTGAAATATATTTTAGAGAGGGACGTTAAACAGTACACAATCAATCAATATTACATAATCTTTCATTCCTTTATTTGGTTCTTCTGGTAGAAAATATTATATATACAACAAACAGAAGTCCAAGTAAAGTCAAACAAAAGAAAATTGCATTAATAAACTATATTTTTCAGTTTATCTGGAAATAACCATCTCATAACATACTATCACCACAATTCAGATACTGTGAAATTACAAAATTTAAATTTTCGTGGGGTGTATTTTTTGTTGTTTCGAGATATGGAGAGAACATCAAATTTATGTTAAGTTGAAGTGACACATCGACTATATTTTTTTAGTATCTAGTCTTGTTATCCCGAATACAAGGATATCTCGGAAGTTTTTCCAATCAGTCCAAATGAGTTCGAGATTAGATATTTGACAGTATTAACCAGTGCCATAAGCGAGAAAATTTGACAATATTTATATTTTGACACCTTTTTTTCAGTTCCCAGCAAACTGATGGGCAGAATTTTATATATGATGTAAATGCATGCATTTCATTTTGCTTGGCTGTGAAGATGATATCCTTATTAACAGCTTATCTACATCCAATACAGTAATGAAACTTCAATTATTTATTTAAAAAACGATAATGACATATTTTGATGAGATTTAAAATTCAATTAAAAAATCTCACGCTTTTCAAAAAAGGAAAGCATGCATAAAATCACATATAGTGTCGTCTGTATACAGTCATTGAAAATCCTTCTGGCGTAAAAAGTAAACATGCATGTTGTAGGGAACTCGGTCCCCTTTCTTCACTCTTGTTGCAAGAGTTATGATGAGATAAAATGTGCGGTTGCTGTGCTTCTTAAGAACTTCTCAAAAATATTTATTATTCATGTGTAGCATGATTCGATACGACTATTTTCAAAGATTTCCGCACAATTTATCTTGAAGCTCTCCAATTTTTTACCTACATAGAAAATATTTAAACCTGATGCTAAAGTCAATGACATTACTTTCGTCAATGGTGCTTTTTCATTCTATGCACCATTGCTCCGGAAAAGGGTTGACGTGGCTAATGTTTGCTATTCAGTCCTTGGTTAAAATGGTTAACACCCACTGTTATTTCGTTATACCCCCATGTAGAAATGCATCAGGTAGAGGCAGGAAATATTAACATGGACATATTATTTACCTAAATTTGTCGTCTGTTATCTGATAAACGTCACAAAATCTGTAAGTAATACTGTATTATAACATTTCATTCCTGCATTAAACATAAAGCTGAACATTAAATTGACAATAACTTTAATATCTTTTTTTAAATACACAACAATGTTTGTCTCTGTAAATACCTTGAATCTATTTATATAAATGATATGACAGAATGTGTATAATTTATAGGTAAAACGCGGGATGGCGATGAGTCCCTTCGGCATCCTTCTATTAACCAGCTTGTTGAATGAATGGAAATTGAGCAAAGGAGGTAAAGAAAATTCATTACAGAAATATGGATTAATGCACTCTTTCAGCTTTATAGGAAATCAAAACTCATTTTTGTTAAATTAATGAAATAGAACAATGTCTATGCAAAGATCTTTAGTACGATGGCGTATTCGTGCCATTTTAACAATGTAGAAATTTTTTATTAAATCGTACAAACGATTTACTAAATCGTACAAACGATTTATTAAATCGTACAAACGATTTATTAAATCGTACAAACGATTTACTAAATCGTACAAACGATTTATTAAATCGTACAAACGATTTATTAAATCGTACAAACGATTTACTAAATCGTACAAACGATTTAAAAAAATATTTCTACATTGTTTAAATGGCACGAATACGCTGTCGTACTTTAGCCATGAAGGAATTAAATATTTAGTCTGAAAAAAGTTATTAACTATTCAGTATTCATAATGCCCTTGTAAGAATTTTTTTCAATGCTTATATATCACAGGTATCTCCTTCATAAATATCACAGGAAAAACTTATTCTAATATTAGTACAATATCACTGCGGATAAATTTGACTCAGACAGTTGTTGAAAATGAAAGGGCAAGAGGGAATTATGGATTATTTAGGTAGAATAAGGAATAGAATTCAACATTAGATAATAATATCATCAATGAAAAATTTAATATTTAGAATATCCGTAAAATTTGAATTTCTAAAAAAAACTTAAATGCAAGTCACAGAACTTTCACCCAAATTATGCCATTTTCGAAATCAAAAGACTCTGCTTGTTCGAATGCGCTATAGAATACATGAAAATGCATATCATGGGGCGCAGCTTAAAGAGGGGTCGCACATTTAACAATTTTGGAAAAGGTACTCTTGCTCATCATAAATCTTTGATTAATATCACATAATTATGTGGATTTCAAAGCAGTATATAATCATTGAACAAGAGACCCAGTGGCCACATCGCTCACATGAGCTAATAGCTAGGTAAAAGCAAAAATCAACTCGGTATTGTTTAAATATTCTATAAAATGGGTTCGAGGGAGGAGGGGGGATTTGAACAAACTTAAATATACACTTCCTAAGAATGCTTTTGAATTAATATATGGCTTTGTTGTTTATTGTTATTATCCACTTTAATGATGCGTTTGAATTTATTTGAACTCGGATACCCAATTTTGGCCCCAATCTACCCCCGGGGGTCGCGATTTGAACAAATTTGAATCTAGACTATCCGAGGATGCATATAACTATTACTAATCACAACTTTGCTGTTTTCAAGAAGAAGATTTTTAAAAGATTTTTTTCATGTAATCCTACTTTGATCACCCAAGATGACCCAACCCTTGCCCAAGGGGTCATGATTTGAACAAATTTGAAAAGAGTTTTCCTTTATATTCCTATATAAAACCTTGATCAGCCATTGTGGCCCCGCCCTAACCCCGGGGGTCATGATTTGAATAAAGTTAACTTGAATCTACACTACATGAGGATGCATTCACATGAGTTTCATCTTTCCTGGCTCAATCGTTCTTGAGAAGAATTTTTGTTTTAAATACCATTAATTTTTTATTAATTCATAATTATCTCCCTTGGAATAGGACTTGGCCCCTCATTTGAACAAACTTGACTTCCCTTCACCCAAGGATACTTTGTGGTAAGTTTGGTTGAAATTGGCCCAGTGGTTCTTGAGAAGATGAAAAAAGGTGAAAAGTTTACAACGACGACAACTACAACGACGACAGACAACGGACAAAATTTGATCAGAAAAAGCTCACTTAAGCCTTCGGCTCAGGTGGGCTTAAAACGAAAACACGTTTCTAGTCAAAGACATGTTTGAATTTAAGTTACTGATATATGAAGATTTACTTTTACATACCTTTTTTAGTCGTCCGATTGGTTAAGTGATTCGTGTTGCAAGGAGTTGATCCTTATGTAGCGGGTTCCAATGCTACTGTTGGACGCGGAGACCGGTCATTTGAATGGGGTACCGGTATAAAAACCGAGGTCCTGTGTCGCAGTAGGTGCTAGCACCATTCTCTAACCAGAGTTGTCTTCCGCTACGCTCACTACACCTCTGTTAATGCTCGTTGTACAAGATTTCTTGTACAAATCTTGAACGGTGAAAATTTGAAGTTAAAATAGTAATTAATTATTGTAATTATTGATAAAGATGATAACGCATCATTTATTTCAAACCTCTCTCTCAGTTCAATTCAATTCTTTTATTCCTTGTATCAACAGATACATGTACATCAGATTAACACATTAATTGCATACAATATACATAATTGCCATGTAAACATATATTACAATGTATTGCATTGATAAATGTACATATCTATACATACATACATATTATTGTAATAAATGTATCATAATAGTAAATGAATATTACTCATTATCATAGTAAATTTATTTTACTTTCTCGTAAATGACACGCCTCTCTTAAAAAATTCCCCAGACCTCTTAATTCCCTTACATTTTGATTAATCACTTGATAATATTTTTTAATATATTTCTTCCTTAAATTATCATATGTAATTGTATTAATTTATATACACTACTATTTTGATAATAATATTTTTTGATTTATTTCTACTGTTGGACATTAAAACAAGCGTTGACAGAGGTGTGTGGGAGCGAAGCGGGAACGACAACTCTGGATAGCGAATGGCGCTGGCACGAAAAGATCCCTCTCTGTTCATTGGCCGGAAGTGCCGAGTATAGGACACAATTTGCAGCTCTCCGTCGGCAAGTGGTGGCGTTACCATATGAGTGAAAAATTCTCGAGAGGGACGTTAAACAACATACAAACAAATAAAACTTTCCGTTTTTTATCCGAGTTGATTGTATTATCATGTACTTGACTGGTACATATACAATGCGTGTAAAAAGAATTTTGTATAACATCATTGATTTCTTTGTATACTTTTTCATACAAAAATCGATAATCAGTGTAAATCAAAGTAAGATGGTTTAAAAATAATTCAACATTTTATCATAATTCAACACTTTATCTAAAAGAATTTTGTGATCACATATTTTAATTTTATCTCATATAATCATGTTCAATGTATACTCCGTCGTTAACAGAGTGTTTTTCATGATCGGAAAGTGGATACCATATTCTAATTAAGCGTTCTAAGAAATACCCAGGTATTTCGCTGGAAAGAATTTGCATTCGAAAGAAGCTTTCCATTCACAATGCGTTCAAATAGAGAATAGATATAACATGTTTGGCTATAGCTGCAGATTTATAGCTCGTTGCCTGGTGTACAAAATTTGGATGGAAGATCAGAGAGCTAAAGTGCAACTGAAATAAGTTTAATTTATTGCGCACCAAAAATGCATCGATTCCCGATCTGAATATTTAAGTATATAGAAGCATGTTATTTACCGTGTTTTTTAAAAAAAGTTTATTCTTTTCCTATACACATGTACATGAAACAAGAGGCCCATGGGCCACATCGCTCACCTGAGTAACTTGGGTGATGCAGATCTTTACCAGATTCCCCCTCTTGCTAAACCTATCATGCCCCCTTCCCTTTTTTATTTTAAAACTTTAGAATCTACACTACCTAAGGATTCTTCCATGTAAGTTTCAGCTTTCCTGGCCCAGTGGTTCTTGAGAAGAAGATGTTTAAAGATTTGTTCTATATATTTCTATGTAAAACTTGGATTCCCTATTGTGGCCCCTACCTACCCCCGGGGGTCATGATTTTAACAATTTAATATCTACACTACCGAAGTATGCTTCCACATAAGTTTCAGCTTCCCTGGCCCAGTGGTTTCTAAGAAGAAGATTTTTAAAGATTTGTTCTATATATTTCTATGTAAAACTTGGATTCCCTATTGTGGCCCCGCCCTACCCCCGGGGGTCATGATTTTATCAATTTAATATCTACACTACCCAAGGATGCTTCCACATAAGTTTCAGTTTTCCTGGCCCAGTGGTTCTTGAGAAGAAGATTTTTTAAGATTTGTTCTATATATTTCTATGTAAAACTTGGATTCCTTATTGTGGCCCCTACCTACCCCCGGGGGTCATGATTTTAACAATTTAATATCTACACTACCCAAGGATGCTTCCACATAAGTTTCAGCTTTTCTGGCCCAGTGGTGCTTGAGAAGATTTTTTAGTGACCCCACCCTATTTTTGTCTTTTCTTGATTATCTCCCCTTGTAAAGGAACTTGGCCCTTCATTTTAACAATTTAAACTCCCCTTTACCCAAGGATGCTTTGTACCAAGTTTGGTTAAAATTGGCCCATTGGTTCTTGAGAAGAAGTCGAAAATGTGAAAAGTTTACAGACGGACGGACAGACGGACGGACGACGGACAAAATGTGATCAGAAAAGCTCACTTGAGCCTTCGGCTCAGGTGAGCTAAAAACTCTATGTACAAGCCATGTACGAAGAGTGTTCGATCGAATTGTCTTGCCACCCAAGATGACCAAAGTATACGTAGAAATATATAGATGAAATTTTCCATGGTCTCAATTTCGGTCCAGAAGGTTATCAACAACGGTTTTGAGAAGTGGTTTTTTTTTTTTTGGAAGTAGTTAAAAAATATGCTTGCTTAGTGATATTTTGAGCTTAAAAATACTTATGAATCAATCGAGAAACATGCATTTTTGTACACAAATATTTATTTATACAGAGATAAGAATACAACACCAAATGTTAGTTTTTATATTTAATGTTATGGCGAGTATTGGCCGTGGCATAATAATTCACAAACAATTTGGGAATACCATTTCAATTGGGCAAACCCATCAATTCAAATCCATCTGTGTATACACTAACCTTCCTGGGTTTACCGAGGAGGGTCAGCACACATCAAACAAAGTTCAAATGTCAAAGTTCAAATATCAACTTCACATATCAATCATCAAATCTCAAACTCACAGTAGTTCAAATATCAAATATCTCAAATTAAAATCTCAAATATATCTCAAACTCAGAGATGCATTTTTTAAGTTCACATTTAGTATCACTGTCACATAGTACTACAC